GGCTTCTTAATTAGACACTTTGTAAAAATAAATAAATAAATAAATAAATAAATAAATAAATAAGAATATTTTTTTCTTTTTTCTTTTATTTATTAGTTCAAGTTAGGGAACAAGCTTGTTTCACATATAAGTCCCTTCTCCCTCTCCCTCCCCTCCCCCCATCCCTCATAAATAAGAATCTTTATTCAAGTGCTGATCATTAAGTGCTCATAATAATGTTATTTCCATGCTGTTTAATCTCTCATTTATGTGTGGATCTTGACCAAATGCTGTTTCAACAAGTACTCATCAGATAGTTCCCAGTGGATACACACAGAGGCAGATCTGCAGCTCACTGCCTGGTGTGACCCCCAAGGAGGGAATTTCCGCTGAGAGTCCTTCCATGGGGGACAGGGGACTCATCCCTCAGCATAAGGCTGAGGAGGTGAGGCACAGATAGGCTACTTGTGCCAACTGCATGACTGGCTTCCTTTTCACCACAGGGAGTGGCCGTGAAGGCCGGCTGAGACCAATCTGTGCCACCAATAGCCATGTCTCAGTCACAATCCAGAATCTTCACACTCTAGGAATGTCCAGTCCTTCAGCCGCCAGTCAGAAGGCGCCACCATCCATTGTTACACCTAGCCAGTTATGCACCACGAGGAAGGAGAGAGACAACACTTCTGGGTTCCAAATATTTTAATAGTTCACCACATTGGCAAGGCACTAATGGATCAGCGCTGTAGGACAAGGACCTAGGAGCTTTGTTTCTCCTGACAGCCCCAAGCAGGGGCAGAAATTGGGTTTATTTATTTATTCATTTTTGGTTTTTCGAGACAGGGTTTCTCTGTGTAGCTTTGGAGCCTATCCTGGCACTCACTCTGGAGACCAGGCTGGCCTCGAACTCACAGAGATCTGCCTGCCTCTGCCTCCCGAGTGCTGGGACTTAAGGTGTGTGCCACCAACGCCCGGCTAGAAGTCGGGTTTATAATCACAAAAATCACCAACATTTGTTGCCAAGTTCCAGTTCCAGTTTTCACCAACCAGGATTGAGAGATTAGGGGTTTCCTTGAGTGTTCCGTCATTGTCAGTCAATATACAATGCAAGCCTTTCAGTCCAACCAACCAGACTCATTTGTTCCTCCATGGCTAGGAACAGCCATGGTGTTTGTAAAGAACTAAAGATGCAAAATGACTATTTCTGTGGCTTAGGGAGGAGGCTGGTCAGTCATTGGAAAGTTCTCAGCTGCCCTAGGGCTTGGAAAGCTGAACTTTTGTTTCACCCTACAGGCAAAACAGAGTCTGAGGTCAAAACGGCAGTGCTCAGGCCAAGGTGCTTTTGCCTGCTCCCTGCACAGTGAAGGAAGTCCCTCTCTCCAGGTCCTTCTCTCCTCTCCTTTCAATCAAGCCACCTATAATGAAAATAAATCATATTTTAAAATCTAGTTTTATTTTATGTGTATGAGTGTCTGCCTGCATGCACATATATGCGGCACATGCCTGGAGGCTTGTGGAAGCTAGCAAAGGGACATTGGATGTCATGGAACTGGAGTGACAAATGGTGTGAACCCCCAGTGGAATTGGCAACTGAACACCCTAGGTCTCTGCAGGAGCAGCAAGTGCAGCTGGGTTTGGGGTGTGGTGGTGCACACCTTTAATCCCAGCATTCCAGAGGCAGAGATGAAAAAAAAATGACTAAGCTGGGAGTGGCGGCTCACCTCCTCACTACACAGACACACAGACACACACACACACACACACACACACACACACACACACACACACACAAACCCGAAACAACTGAGCATCACGTGGTGGGGCTTATCTTTAGCAGATCTCTTAGTTCAAGTCTTATCTGCTCTACAGAGCAAGTTCCAGGCCAGCCAGGGCTACGTAGAGAGAGCCTGTCTCAAAGAACAACAACACAAAACACCAAACAAAAATAAAATTACTTTCAGAAGGTGTCACACTCTAGCACAGTAGTTCTCACAGTGGGTCTGGACCCCCTTTGGGGGTAGAATGACCCTTTCACAGGGGTCACCTAAGACTGTCGGGAAACACAGATATTTATTTATTTACCTATTTTTTTCGAGACAGGGTTTCTCTATATTGCTTTGGAGACTGTGCTGGATCTTGCTCTGTAGATTAGGCTGGCCTTGAACTCACATCCGTCTGCCTCTGCATCCCGAGTGCTGGGATTGAAGGAGTGCGCCACCAACGCCTGGCTACACAGATATTTATACTTCAATTCGTAACAGTAGCAGCATTACAGTTACAAAGTAGCAACAAAAATAATTGTATGTTTGGGGACCACCATAACATGAGGAGCTCTATTAAAGGGTGGCAGCATTATGAAGGTTGAGAACCAATGATCCAGCACATACGTGTCAAAAATGGGAATCCAGGGAAAGCGATATAGTTAAAAGGTGGAAAGCAACTATTTAAATGTAATTAGCTGAACCCACAGTTTGGAAGGCGAAAACTGACATTTGTCAAAGGTACTCTGACCTCCACAAGTGCAGGGACACACACACACACACACACACACACACACACACACACACACACACACTACACAAATGAATTTTTTTTAAAGTGAATAAAAGCTCATGATTTTATTGTCTTCATAACAAAATCCGCTCAGAACTGGATCGTTTTGGCGTGGGTGCTTGCCACATTGCTTGCAGAAACAAAGTCCAGCGGGTCTTGGGAACGTTCACACGTTTACGGGAGCGATATTGGCACAGAAAGCAAAAACTATCTCTTTTTTTTTTTCTTTTTCTGAGACACGGATAGGGTTTCTTTATGTAGCCCTAGCTGTCCTGGAATTTACTTTGTAGCCCAGCGTGGCCTCGAACTCACAGAGATCCACGTGAGTGCTGGGATTAAAAGCGTGTGTGCCACCATCGCCCAGCGCAAATACAATTTTTGAAAGAATCAAGTTAATAAACCCAAACCGGAACCATGTCAGACTGGATCACTATCAGGGGACATCAGCCCTATGCCTAGGCTCACAACCCAGACCTCCAGATCTCATAACATGTAACATCAGGGGAGCCAGGTATCATGTGTGGCCTCATCCAGAGCCCCCAGACGGCCTGACTTGAGTACCCAAAGAGGCACATAAACAGCCACATTCCCCTGCAAGGGTTAGAACCAGTGACACCGCGGCGGAGATGCAGATTTCTGATTCTTCTAGGTGTCAGTGACAAACGCTTCCATCTCTGGAACCCCGTCCAAGCACCTGCAGTCAGGGGTTCTCTATGTAGCCTCTACTGTACTTGAACTCACTCCGTAGACCAGGCTAGCCTCCAACCCAGAGATCCACTGGGATTAAAGGCAAGCACCAACACCCCCGGCCGATCTTCCGGCCTTTCTGCAGGGCTCTTCTGGGTTATGCAGTTCTGGAAGCTGCATCATGGAGACCCCGACAGTTACAGAGCTGGCAGGTGGAGAGAGGGTGTGTCAGGAGTTAATGGGACTCCTTGGAGACACCGTGGTGGTTACATATGCGCCAGTGTTCCCATCCCCTCCAGCTGCTCCCCTGTCCTTCTGAAGCGTCTTCCCTGCCACAGAAGGTGGTTTCCTGCACTGAAGCCCGTAATGCATCTCCGAATTCCCCTCAGCGTGGGGATGCGCCATAGAAAAGTTATTCTTGACGACGTCGTATCAGACGTGGCGTCTGAATTCTGGAATTAGAAGAGTCTGAATTCTAGAGACTAGTGGTGACAGGATCCAAATATGTCCTTTCTTGTTCCTCCACGATAATTCCTTCCTTTTAAATTACAAAGAGGATCGGGCAAGCACCGTTCATACAGAGGCAAAGGTTCAGAATCTGTCAGGTCTCAAACCCGCGACAGTGGCTAATTGCGCATCAAAGCGGACACTGGCTATTCTCCCAACATCCCTCAGTCTCAACCTGCTACAGGGCCCTCCTGGAAGGCACACCCAGCCCCCTGCCCTGAACTCTTCAGCCCAACTCTTGGGCTGGGCTTCCCTCCTCCCGGCTCCTCTGGCCCCTACATAACTCAGCCATCCTGGCCCAGGCTGCTCCTCTTGGTCAACGCTAGTCTCTCTCCCCTCTCCTCACATGGGAGAGGGGCCTGTTCACTCTGGACTCCCAATGTCTCTGCTTCTGGCTATTCTCCCCACCCCCTTTTTTGATTTTATTTATTTATTATGTATACAACATTCTGCTTCCATGTATATCTGCACACCAGAAGAGGGCACCAGATCTCATAACGGATGGTTGTGAGCCACCGTGTGGTTGCTGGGAATTGAACTCAGGACCTCTGGAAGAGCAGTCGGTGTTCTTACCCTCTGAGCCGTCTCTCCACCCCTATTTTCTCCCCTTTTTTTCTACAAAAACCTTCTCCTTTATCATACATGGGTGTAGTCATTCCTTCCCTTCTTCCATCTCTCCCGCCCTCCTTCTCTCTTCTCTCCTCACTCTCTCCCTCCCTCTCTCTCCCTCTTTCCTCTCTTGTCTCCCTCCCTCTCTCCCTCCCCTCCTCTCCTCTCTCTCTACCTTCCTCCCTCTCTCTCCGTCCCTCCCTCCCTTTCTCTCTCCCTTCCTCTCTCTCTCTCTCTCTCTCTCTCTCTCCCCCCCTCCTTC